TGTATATATGTTATTAATATTATTATTTATTATTATTATTATCATCACTATTATTTTCATTATTATTGTATATATATATATATTAATATATATATATCATTGACATATATTCAATATGAGAATGTTCGTTGGATCACTATTTGATATCTCGATGGTAAAAATGGTTTCTTATTTGAAACTGGAGGACTTTTGCTCAGAGCGGCAAAGTGGTACATTTGACATATAGCATCAATCTCTCTCCCCAGTGTTATAGAGACAAGCCATTCGTAGTACATTCATATGTAGCAACGAACGGCTCATATCTGAGTAAACTTTACCCCACATAGGCGCACACACACATACAGTCATACACAACTGTCAATGACACTCTTCATTGCACCCGTCCACCACATACCCATATACACACATGCACACACATTCATGCCTCTATATCCTAACGCACACGCATACGCACCCTTTCGCCACACGCACGTGTACATACATTCATACATATAATACATCCATCCACAACACACACTCCCGTGTATCCCGCTCGCCACACGCACGTGTACACGCATTCATACATACAATACATCCATCCACAACACACACTCCCGTGTATCGGTCCCTTCCCCTCAGGCGCACCGGCGGCAGGGCTCGGGCGGCGCTTCATCTGTCGTCGCTTAGACCGGCGAGTGGGGTGTACCATGGCAACAAGGGTATGCTAGAGCAGTTAACTGTCAGACGAGGAGATACGTACGATGCCGAGGAACTGAGCAAGTACAAGGCAGCCATCCAGACACAGCTGGAGGATGACGAGCTTAAGTATCGGGCACTTAAGGATAGCCTGGATATGCAGGACAAGCATGTGAACTCATTGGTGTGTTGTGTGGTATAGTTGATGACCAGTGTGTTAACTCATTGGTGTGTTGTGTGGTATGGTTGATGACAAGTGTGTTAGCTCATTGGTATGTTGTGTGGTATGGTTGATGACAAGCATGTGAACTCATTGGTGTGTTGTGTGGTATGGTTGATGACAAGTGTGTTAACTTATTGGTGTGTTGTGTGGTAAGGTTGATGACAAGTGTGTTAATGGTTGATGACAAGTGTGTTGTGTGGTATGGTTGATGACAAGTGTGTTAATGGTTGATGACAAGTGTGTTGTGTGGTATGGTTGATGACAAGCAAGTGAACTCATTGGTGTGTTACTCATTGGTGTGTTGTGTGGTATGGTTGATGACAAGTGTGTTGTGTGGTATGGTTGATGACAAGCATGTGAACTCATTGGTGTGTTACTCATTGGTGTGTTGTGTGGTATGGTTGATGACAAGTGTGTTAACTCATTGGTGTGCTGTGTGGTATGGTTGATGACAAGTGTGTTAACTCATTGGTGTGTTGTGTGGTATGGTTGATGACAAGTGTGTTCACTCACTGATGTGTTGGTGTGGTGAGTGTGGTATGTGTGATGACATGTTTGTATCTCATTGGTATGTTGTATGTGGTGTGTGTACTATATACTGCAGTGTATGTACTATATACTGCAGTGTATGTTGGGGCTATGTTCGGATGTGGTGTATGTGCTAATACTATAGCCGTCTGAAGAGTTATGGCTCATAAACCGTAGTTTATCATATACGTTTACAGTAGCGTGAAGTGTGTTGTAAGTTGTTAGGTATCGCCTTCTGTCTGTCTGCCGCCGTATTGTATATATTCACTTGTGTCACCACCGCAGAGTGTGATTGCAAGGACAGTTCACGACCCATCCCACCAGCAAAGCGTTTGTTCATAGCCAAATACATTAATGGTATGTAATGTCAAGTGTGTGTGCATATAACACTAACATGACCCATCCCACCAGCAAAGCGATTATTCATAGCCTAATACATTACTGGTATGTAATGTCAAGTGTGTGTGCATATAACTCTTATATGACCCACCCCACCAACTAAGCGTTTATTGATAGCCAAATACGTTAATGGTATGTTATGACAAGTGTGTGTGCATATAACACTTATATGACCCATCCCATCAGCAAAGCGTTTATTCATAGCCAAATACGTCAATGGTATGTTATGACAAGTGTGTGTGCATATAACACTTAAATGACCCATCCCTTCCAACAAAGCGTTTATTCATAGCCAAATACGTTAAAGGTATGTTATGGCAAGTGTGAGTGCATATAACACTTATATGACCCATCCCACCAACAAAGCGTTTATTCATAGCCAAATACGTTAATGGTATGTTATGGCAAGTGTGAGTGCATATA